CCCCCCCCCCTGAAATGTATAGGCATACTTGTACAGGTTCCACTCCAGTGGCCTATCTAGTGTGTCCATGCTTGACTGCCATAAGGCTCAAGGGATATAGGATAAGACTCTGCGTGAGCAAAAGACACTAGCGGTCTGCACCTCTACCGTGTACGCCCTAGTCACTCTTTCAGTGGTAGCGGAGCAGTGATCCTGGAAGACCCAGGTGAGCTCCTTTCCTAGGCATAGAATTGCTTGTGGGCAAACGGCCATGGATTGGATTGACGACTGGGAAGAGCCTGATGCGGATGTGGCTTATAAGCCAGCAGCCTACGTGAATAGGCATGTGAGAAGAGAACCAGCAGCGATAGCTATGACAACACAGGTCACTACAAAGGTGCCCCCATCTTATGATGGAAAGACTTCATGGTTGTCCTATGAGGATGCCATAGACGATTGGTGTGATATCACCGAGCTGGAGGATGAGAAGAGAGGACCAGCATTGAGAAACCGACTAGAAGGAGAAGCAGCTGTATACAAGCGAGTTTTAGACAGAGATGCATTGAAGGCTAATGAGCCACTAGGAGCTGGAGTAGATTACTTCAAGAGAGTACTACGACCATATTTTGTGAAAGGATCCACCACTGTATTCCTGTATAGGTTCATGCAATTCGCGCGCTTCAATCGAGGATCAGCCGACATGATGAAGTGGATGACAAGATTTCAGATTTTACTCCAAAGGCTTATGAGCAGTTGGATGGACATGTTGGATCCAGTAACACAAGTACACCCACAGGTACAAGCTCAAATGCAAGCTGATGCAGCGGTGACTGGAGTAGCTCCAACAGCAGAAAGAATTCAGGAAATCATGCAGAATGTCAATGGCAATATGAGAATTCTTCATCAGAACGACTTTCCTTTAGGAGAGAATCTCATTGCCCTACTCATGCTGTCACTTGCAGATTTGTCTCAGGACCAGCGAAACACTTTGACCTCTTTGATGACACATCGTGGTAGAGTCCTGCAGCAATACACCACAACAGAGTTGAGGACAGTTTTCATTGAGATGTTCTGCACAACAAAGACTTCAGTAGACAATCCTCTTATGCAGCCAACAGGTGCTGGAGGTAGAAGATCATTCCTCGTGATGGAAGAAGGAGAACTAGATGGTACATTTGGCTATTGGGCCGAAGATGAAGAAGATGGAACAGAAGGATTCCTTGATGCCCTGGACGATGTCTTTTGGGTATATGATGAACAGAATTTCTCTTGGTTCCAGAGGAGATTCCAAGGAAGAAGAGCCAGAAAAGGCAAAGGAAAAGGAAGAAGAAAAGGAAAAGGAAAAGGAAGATCAGGCCGCAGATTTTTCAGACCTCGAGGAAAAGGAAAAGGAAAGAGACGAGGTAAAGGCCATTATGCTGATGAGCAATCGACAACTTATCCAGAAGAGTATTATGAAGAGAATCCTTATGAGGACACTTGGGAGTCAAATCAAGTAGCGTATGATGCTATCATTGCCGAAGATATGAATGACTATCTTCAAGGAGAACATGAAGATGCCAATGACTTTTGGCAACAACTTGAAGAAGCGTGGTTTTCCCACAAAGGAAAGGGAAAAGGCAAGAGAAAAGGCAAGAAAGGAAAAGGAAAAGATAAAGGAGATGGCAAACAAGATGCAAACTATGCAAATCAACAACAGCCACGTTCTTTACCTGCACCTTCAAGAACTTCACAAGCATCAGGAAGCAACCAAGGTTTCTTTGCGCATTGTGTGACAACAGTCGCTGAAGTCCATGACAGTGAGGTGGACTTGCTGTCAGGCATGATGACCTCATGTCAAGATGAAGCTGACTGTAATGTCAACAATGATGAGACGATCTTCGATGACATGAGTGCCCCTGTGAGGTACTCTTTGTCAAAGGAGATGCTCACAGATGCTCCTGATGGCTTTGCGCTTATGAGCGTTGAGGAAGAAGTGAAAGAGATGCAGGCTATTTCATTTTTGACTGAAAATCGCTTCCCGCCAACTATTGCAATCCTGGACATTGGACGCACTAGAGCTATGGGATCAAGGCGTGCAGTCGATTATTTTTGTAACTATGTCGACAATCATCCAGACTGTGGACTATGGTACTCTTTTGAGTCTACCAAGAGCAAGTTTTACTTTGCCAATTCTCAGAAGGCTTCTTGCTCTCAGAAAC